GGATATGGTCGCCGCTCGTGACTCTCTTCTCCGCCGTCGTCCTGCTCCTCCAGCCTCCTCCAACCGGGAGGAGAAGGACCGTCTGCGACCCCTGCGCCACTCCGCCGCTCCTCCTCCTCCTCCTCCTCCTCCTCCTCCACCTCCACCTCCACCTCCACCTCCTCCTCCTCCTCCTCCTCCTCCTCCTCCTCCTCCTCCTCCTCATCCTACTCCTCTCCCCTCCCCCTCCCCTCCCCCTCCTCCTCCTCTCCTTCTTCCCCTCCTCCCATTCTTTGTTCGTTCAACGCTTTCAACGCAAGCGAAGTGCCTCCGAGCTAGCCACAAAGGCAAACGCTGAAGCTCCGCTCAAGGAAAGCACTGCAAAGAGAAGAGAGAAGAGAGAGCGAAGACGACGAGGGAATATGACTCCGCGCCTTCTCCTTCTCCTCCTCCGCCACAGCCTGTCCTGCATCTCTCCGTCCTGCTCCTTCGTCTCCTCTTCCCTCCATTTGTCCTCCTCCATTTTGCTCCTACCCAAGCCCCGTCCAGTCGTCCTCCTCCTCCTCCTCCTCATCCTGTTTCCTCTGCCCCCCTCCATAGCCCCAAAGCTCGTCTCCCTCATCTGCCAGATCCTTCCTTATCCTTCACCAGCTCCTCCCCCTCCCCCCCTCCACTGTTTCCCATGTGACTCCCCCGACCTTCCACCTCCTACCACCGCCCTCCCTCCTCTTCGGGCACGGCACCTTTCGCCCATGCCTCTGTCGCACCAACAAACCTTCTATACTCGTACTCTTTTTCCTCATCCCCTCTCCTCATCTGAGGCATCCCCCTCCTCCGTCGTCCTCATTCCTCCCTCTCCCTGACGACGATGACGAGGCAGACGACGGACATGTAGAGGATGACGGCGAGAAAGACGACGACGACGACGACACAGAGGACGACGAGGAGGAAGAGGACAAGGACGACGAGCACTGGCGACGCAGCGGGCGAGGACGGCGACGAGCGAAAACGGCGACGAGGACAGCGACCACGACGACGCCGCCACCGCTCGCCGCAACCCCGCCCTCCGCGCCGCGGGCCTCCGCTGCCTCGCCCTCGCTCTCCTTTCCGTCGTCGTCGCCGCCGCCGCCTTCGTCGTCGTCGTCGTCGTCGTCGTCGTCGTCGTCGACGTCGTCGTCGTCGTCGTCGTCGTCGTCTCGGAGAAGGGCGACTGAGACATCGGCCCTCGGACCCCTTCTGGGTTCCGAGCGCACCGGCTTTCCGAGCTGCGCCCAGCCGTGGCGACGAGGGGGCGCCCCACCCGAAGTCCGACTATACCGAGGCCTCAAGCGGCCCTCCCCTGACGGTCGTCGTCGTCGTCGGCGGCGGCGTCGTCGTCGTTCTCGCCCTCTTCGTCGACACGAGGGGCCGCCGGCGGGCCGCCCGCCAAAAGGCCGCCGATGGGATCTGGGTTTGCGATTGTCCTGGGTAGCTCCTTGCGGGAGCTAAAAGGGTCGTTAGGGAAGAAGCCGGCAGGCAGCTCTCCTCAAGGCTCCCGGAAAGGCACGTCCGCAGAGCCTTGCTCGAAGCTGCAGCGTGTTCCGGCCAGCGTTTTCCTGCTCGCCTCCCCCCCCCCCCCCGGGCTCGCGGGGGGGGGCGGCGGCATCCTCTGGTGGCGCATCCCGGGCGGCCGCGGCGGCCTCGCCACGGGGGGCTTCGGCGCGGGCTTTGGGGGGGGGGCATCGGGGAGGATCAAAGGGGACGGGGAGGGAGGCTCGAGGCCAGGAGGCGACTCCTGCAGCCCCTCCTCCTCCTCCTCCTCCTCTTCTTCTTCTTCTTATTCTTCTTCTTCTTCTTCTTCTTCTTCTTCTTCCTCCTCCTCCTCCTCCTCCTCCTCCTCTCCTCCTCCACCTCCTCCACCTCTCCTCCCTCCTCCTCCTCCTCCTCTCCTCCTGTCCTCCTCACCTCATCCTCTCCCTCCTCGCCCTCTCTCAAAAGCTCTCGCCTCTCTCCCTCCCCTCCCTCCTCTCCCTCCCCCTCCTCTCCCTCCTCCCCCTCCTCTCCCTCCTCGCCCTCCTCTCCTCCTCTTCCTCCTCCCTCCCTTCCTCTCCCTCCTCTCCCTCTTACTCCCGTCCTCTCCCTCCTCTCGCCCCCCTCTCTCCTCTCCCTCCCCCTCCTCGCCCTTCCTCTCCCCTCCTCTCCCTTCTCTCCCCTCTCTCCCTCCTCTTTCCTCCTATCCCTCCTCTTCCCTCCCGCCCTCCCCGCTCCTCGCCCCTCCTTTTCCTCCTCATCCTCCTCCTCTCCTCCTTTTCTCCGCCCTCCTCATCACCAACACCACCACCACCACCACCACCACCATCACCACCACCACCACCACCACCACCACCACCACCATCATCATCATCATCATCATCATCATCATCATCATCATCACCACCATCATCATCATCAGTATCATCATCATCAATATCATCACCATCACCATCACCATCACCATCACCATCACCATCACCATCAACATCATCATCATCATCATCATCATCATCATCATCATCATCATCATCATCATCATCGTCATCGTCATCGTCATCGTCATCGTCATCGTCATCGTCATCGTCATCGTCATCATCATCATCATCAGCAGCATCAGCATCAGCATCAGCATCAGCACCAGCATCATCATCAGCATGAGCATGAGCATCAGCATCAGCATCATCGTCATCATCATCACCACCATCACCATCATCATCATCATCACCACCATCATCATCATCAGCATCATCATCATCGTTTTCATAATTTTCATCAGTTTCATCAGCTTCATCATTTCCATCATCCTCATCCTCATCCTCATCAGTTTCATCATTTTCATCAGTTTCATCAGTTTCATCATCATCAGCATCATCAGCATCATCATCCTCATCCTCATCCTCATCCTCAGCCTCATCCTCATCCTCATCCTCATCCGCATCCGCATCCTTATCAGCATCAGCATCAGCATCAGCATCAGCCTCAGCCTCAGCATCAGCCTCAGCCTCAGCCTCAGCATCAGCCTCAGCTCAGCTCATCCTCCGCCCTCACCTCAGCCTCAGCCTCATCCTCAGCCTCAGCCTCAGCCTCGAGCCTCAGCCTCCAGCCTCACCCTCAGCCTCACTCAGCATCAGCCTCGACCAGCTCGTCTCTAGCATCATCATCATCATCATCATCATCATCATCATCATCATCATCATCATCATCATCATCATCGTCATCGTCATCGTCATCAGCATCATCATCAGCATCATCACCATCAGCATGAGCATGAGCATGAGCATGAGCATGAGCATGAGCATGAGCATCAGCATCATCATCATCATCATCATCATCATCATCATCATCATCATCATCATCATCATCAGCATCAGCATCAGCATCAGCATCAGCATCATCATCAACAACATCCGTAGCCGTTTTGGCTCAAGCCGGTGTGCTAGCGGCCCTCGGCGGCTGGCGCGGTTTGGAATGGCACGGGCGGCGGCCCCCTCGCGGGAGGACGCTGGTGGCGGCGCGCTGGGCCCGAGCGCGGCACGGCGGCAGCGCAGGCGTGCTAGCCAGGCTTGGGCTCGCTGGTCGGGGGACGTGCTCGTCTACGACCTGCAGCGGGCGGTCAAGTTCTGGAGAGGCAGGTACGAGAAGCTGGCGGCGGCGCTGGGAGACCCCTCCATCGCGGACCGCCTCGCGGTGGTGGCGGGGCACCTGCACGACATGGTCCACGACAAGGTCGCGTCGCCCATCGACGCGCTGCGGAGGAACGTGGCGCTCCACTCGGCCGTGGTGCCGTGGCCGCTGGCGGCGGCCCCTGCTGCGGCGCTGCGCCGCGCCCAATAGGGCGCGCGGCTGCCCGCGGTCCCCCGGTTCCCCGCGCTCAACGGCTGGAGGCCCACGTTCACGATGTCGGCGCCGACGGCCAGAAGCCGGCCGTGGTGCAGAGCCACGGCGACGCGGGCGCGGGCGGGGGCCTCTCGGACGGTGAGCCCGCAGGCAGGGGCGGCGCCGAAGGCGGGGAACGAGGGGGCGACGCGCTTCTTCGGCTGGCTAGACGACGAGGCGCCCTTCGGCCCCAACGGCCCCGTGGAGAAGGCCCACTTCCTGGACCGCGCCAGCCTCGACGCGCTGGCGGTCGCGTCCACGATGCAGTGCGACGCAGTGGAGGTGCTCCGCTGGTGTGCGCTGGACAGGGTCAAGGACGACCGCGCCGCGGAGCGCGACGGGGGCACAGACAAGGGCATGGACATGGACGAGTTCACGCAGGCAGCACGGGCCGAGGCCCAAGGAGCAGACGGAGCGAATGGGGTGTTGATGTGATGCACCGCACTTGAATGAAGCGGCAGTTCGGTGGGCGTTGGCGTTTCGGCCTCGACTCACCTTGGGAGAGCGGGATCATCATCATCATCATCATCATCATCATCATCATCATCATCATCATCATCATCATCATCATCATCATCATCATCGTCATCATCATCATCATCATCAGCATCGTCATCATCATCATCATCCTCCTCCTCCTCATCATCATCATCATCATCAGCATCAGCATCATCAACATCACCACCATCATCATCATCATCATCATCATCAACATCATCATCGTCATCATCATCCGCCTCCTCCTCCTTCTCCTCCTCCTCCTGCGCTACCTCCTCCTCTTCCTCCTCCTCCTCCTCCTCCTCCTTCTCCTCCTCCTCCCCCTCCTCTTCCTCTTCTTCGTTTTCTTCCTCCTCCTCCTCCTCCTCCCTCCTCTTCCTCCTCCTCCTCCTCCTCCTCCTCCTCCTCCTCCTCCTCCTCCTCCTCCTCCTCCTCCTCCTCCTCCTCCTCCTCCACTGCTGCCGTCCGTGCCAGCTGGAAGCAGACACCGATGGCCTTGGCATGCCTTCGCTCCACCATGATCGGAGGCCATTGGTCGCAGCAGCGCCTGTTTCAGCATGGCTACTCCGACCACAGTGCGTGCCAAGTGTGCGATGAGGCTCCAGGGATCCTGTATCATCTTTTTGTTGGGCTGCTCATGCGCTTACAGTGATCTCAAGGATGCCCTCGATGGGCCCCACCTGGCTCGAGCCCAGCGTGCACCTGCCCAGTGTCCTTTCTTCCAGGGGTGCCTCTTCCCTCGTGCGTGGCTGCCCGAGATCGAGCCACCGTGTTTGGTGGAGAGATGGGGGCTCGCGCTGAGGGGAGATTCGGCTCTCGACATCACGGGAGAAGTTTACACTGACGGTTCTGCCCATGTGTTTTCGTTTTGGCCTGAAGCTGCGAGAGCGGGATGGGGTCTAGCGGTCATGGTTTGGTCGAGGTTTGTTGGGAAAGCGTTCGGCCCCCTCGCAGGATACCAGAAATCAGTGCCACATGCTGAAGTGATTGCGATGTTGCAGGCGTTGCGAGTAGGGCGCGCACCTCTGCACATCTGGACTGACCATATGCCTGCTGTGGAAGGCATCTTGAGGGGTCGGGCCTGGTGTGAGGCGCCATGCAGACAGCACATGGATTTGTAGAGGGCGACTTGGAGGGCGCTCGAAGACCACGGAGGCCTCTCCCCTCTCTTGTTCATCTCGTGGGTTAAGTCGCATCAGACTGAGAGGTCGGCCGAGAAGCTTGGCAACGACGCCGCAGACGACGCAGCCAAGCGGGGGCTTGCTGTGCATACTCTGCCCGATGCTGTCTGTCTGTTTCCAGCATGGGCGGGCTGTGCGCTGGGTTCGTCAGGTTGCGCGCCGGATGGCCCAGAGGCAGGAGGCGCAGCTGCGCGGGGCGATCCCTCCAGACAGGACGGAGATCCCAGGCAAGAAGCGCCACAGGGCGCCTGCCAGTCGCAGAGGGAAGGTCTGCTCTTCTCCTCCTCCGCCCCCATCAGCTCCCCCGCAAGCTCGCTTTTCATGAAGGGGCCCTGGGACGTACAAATAAATAGGCACAAGTCACGGGATTCCCATCCATTGTTCACCTTCTCGGGGTGTTTGTCTTCCCCCCCACACTTCCCACATGTTCCCATATCTTCTGGGGAATCGACGATCACTTGTGTGTCTGTGTGTTTTTGTTTCCCTCCTGACTGCATCAGTGACCACCTATCAGACCACCCCAACCCAACCCGAACACCCGAACTTGACCCGAAGTTCGGGTTCGGGGGGGGGGGGTACAGGCTCCGTGTGCCTCTTCAATGTTCCCCGACCCCCCCCGCACTGGAGATGGATGGAATATTGAGGCCTTCGGGTTCTGGACATCGCTCGGACGTCCATTTCCTGTGTTCTTTGTCCGGCTTCGTGCGTGGTTTTCTTCGCCGAATGATCAAGGATGTTCCTCGATGGTCCTCGCCGAAGGAAAAATGCACACGCCCGAGCGATGCCAAGGGTTAGGGGTTGGGGTCGCCTGGTGGGTGGTGCATCTCAGGGCAGGCCGAGGTGCGCGCCAGGGTGCTGTGGGGGCAACGGAGGAGGAGGAGGGGGAAAGGAGGAGGAGGAGGAGGAGGAGGAGGAGGAGGAGGAGGGTGGATAAAGGCGAGCAGGGAAGGAGGAGGGGGAAGAGAAAGAGGAGGGGGAGATGAAGGGGGAGGCGGCGGAGGAGGAGGTTGGGGAAGGAGGGGCCCGAAGACCGCCCGCGCCCCGTCGGGGAGGCGCCGCCTCCGCGCCGCGAGGCCCGTCCGACGGCCACGCGCAGGGACGGCCCGCTGCTGTCGGCGGGGGCCACCATTGAGTCGGGCGTGTCCCCCTAGGGGGATTTTCGACGAAAAAGATCAAGTACTCAAAAAATAGTCCAAAAAGGTCAGAAAATAGCCCGACGGCCACGCGCAGGGACGGCCCGCTGCTGTCGGCGGGGGCCACCGCCTCGGATCGTCGGAGGCGAATCGGATCGAGCCGGCCGGAGCCAGCCCCGAATCGGACCGACCGGACAGAAATGGACCCCCGCGGGGGTCTGCTCGGGACCCCCCCCCTCCGTGGGGTGCGTGGAGCTGCCCCCCCCCCCTCCTGCTGCTGCACGGCGGCCCCCGCGCCCGCGACAGTCGCCAGCGTTGTCGTCGCAGCCGCCGTCCTCCTCGTCCTCGTCCTCCTCTTCTGGGGAAGTCCAGAGGTACCGATACCGCTACTCCCCGGACCTCTCCCGGGGTGCGCTCCGACCAGCATTTCGGGGGGAAGCCGCCGGTGGCGACGAGGACCCCGGGGGAGGCCCAAAAAGGCGCGAACGGGCGAAGGGTATAGAGGTCTGGGTACCTCGGGAGCGGCCAAGAGGGGGGTGTCCAAGAGGGGGGGGGGGGGGGCAAATCATGACCGGCGGCATGTGGGCGGCCCAGCGGGGGGGCCAGGGACGTAATGAAATGAGAAGAGGCGCCATGAGATCTGGGGAAATACCATGGCCCCCGCCATGAGATCCACCCCCCCCTAGTCATCACCCCCCTCTTTTCCGCCCCCGAGTACCTGCCCCTCCTCCGTTCCCTTCGTCCTCCTCCTCCTCCTCCTCCTCCTCCTTCTCCTCCTCGTCCTCCTCCTCCTCCTCCTCCTCCTCCTCCTCTTCCTCCTCCTCGTCCTCCTCCTCCTCCTCCTCGCTCCCTTCGTCGCTCGCGAGGGCCGCCGACGGGCCGCCGGCCGCAGGGCCTCCGCCAGCCGACCGCCGCGGAGGCGCCCGGCCGCCGGGCGCGGAGGGCGGGCCGCCTTGGACCCCGCGGGGGGCGGCGGCTCGATCTCCGGCTCGTCCGGCGCCGCCGCGGCGCGCACCTTCGAGGGCTCGGCCTCGCGCGCGGGGCGGGGAGGGGGAGAGGGGCCAGATGGTCTGGTACCGGAAATTTTCGGTAGCGATTTCGACGCACCCCGAATTTCGGTAGCGACCGAATTTCAGAACGGTCTGATACCGGTATTGGGCGCTACATTTCGGTATTTCGGTAGCGACCTATCTCTGCGGAGCGCTACCGGAAATTTTCGGTAGCGGACCATCAGGGGGGGGGGATGTTATGTCGCATCCTCGGGGGACCTCGTCTGCCCCGTCGCGGCCCTGTGCGCGTCGAGTCCGTGTCGAATCCATGTCGGACGCGTCGGATCCGTGGCGAATCCGTGTCGGATCCGTGTCGAATCCGCGTCGAATCCACGCCAAATCCGCGTCGAGTCCGCATCGAGCACGCGTCGGGCCCCCCCAAAGACACCCATTTTTGGGACAGACGAGGTCCCCCGAAGATGCAACAGAAGGGATGCCCAGACCCCCCTCGAGGCATGGCAACATCATGACGGGAGGCGGGCCGCCAGGTTTGGCATCGGGGGGCCCTCGCCAGGCCTCGGGACCGTCTCAGAGGGCGCAGGATGGCGAAGAGATCCCAGGGAATGGGTCGGGACCTCTGGGGGTCGACGTTGTGCAACGATCACGACGTCGGGGGTATGGGATAGGAGCTGGTATCTTGTGCGGGAGGGGGAGGAGGGAGCGTGGATGGGGATGGATGCGGAGGAGGAGGGGGGTGGGAGGGGTGAGGAGGGAGGAAGAAAAAAAGGATGAGGTCCAGTGTAGACCAAAGACAGATCAACGATGTTGGAAAACGGCTCGCCCTCCAAGCTCCCTCTCCATAGGCCCCTACAAACATTCAACTCCACTCAGGTAGGTGTCCCGTTGGGGGACAACCGTTTCAAAATCCGGGAGTAAGCCAAAGCACCAATCTTGGGACTTCAGCATCATGAAATAATGTTACGGCCCTGAACCGTGCCACAATACCATTCCTGGGACTTCAACACCGCGAATCAACTAACTGTTGTGCCCTGACAGTCCCGAATGGCTCCAAAATGCCATTTCTGGTACGCCGACCAGGGGAATACGTGTAACTCTGGCCAATGTTGAAGATGAATGTGCACGGCGCGCTCAGGCGAGAACAACATTTTGAAAACGGCCCGCCCTCAATCAGTAAAGCCCTTGCGAATGTTTAGGACGATTGTGCGCGGCGCTAGGGCAAGAGCCACACTTTGAAAACCGCCCACCCTCCATCTGTGAAATTCGTCACAATGTTTGCAGCTTCAGGATGATAAATGGTGAGGGAGTCTCAATTGACACGCCTGGCCCGTCTGTCCAACTGGTTTCGGGGTGCGGCAGGGAGGAGCTATTTAGAGTCTTTCAAAAGCATAGGAATGTAGGGAGCCATGAGGGAGGAGGAGGGGGAGGACGATGACGAGGAGGAGGAGGAGGAGCAGGATAAGACACATTGAAGAGTTAAGGGGAAAGAGATGGGTGGAATGAACAGGTGTCAGAACCGTAGCGAACCTGCCGGCAATCGCGAAGCGTGCAGGAGGGAAAGGGGAGAAGAGGTGGGGCGCTCTCATGCCCTTCCTCATTCACGTGGTCCTTTCGGCGGTGGACAAACCTCCCTTTAGTAGACCTCCCCTTAGTGAAAACGGCCTGGGACCGAAACCGACGGAACTTGACCCGCAAAAATGACGGCCGCGACGCCCTCTCGCGAACCGAAAACGGCCAAGTCCTCAATCGACGTGTCAGGGCAGGAGGTCTGTCCGCCCCCGGTCCTTCTCTCCCTCCGACGCCCTCCTCGTCGCCCCACAAACCCGCCCGACCGGAAATGCTGCGTACCCAAACGTCGCTGTGCAATGGGTGGGGCCACGGCCCCTCCACCTCCTCCTCCTCCTCCTCCTCCTCCTCCTCCTCCTCCTCCTCCTCCTAAGAAGAGCTCCATTGGGCCCCTATCGAAGCCCTGCGGAGCTGTATGAGACCCCAATCCAGGAGCTCTTGACAACTCCTGATGCTGCCCCTGTAGGAGTCGCTCAATGCAGCCCTTCAGGCGAGCTCGTTTACAGCCCCTATGCGCAGGAGCTGATTAGAAAGACCCAATCAGCGCTGTAGGCAGCCCCATATAAGAGCTCTATGTAGCCCCCAGTGCGATCTCTGTACATCCTCAGATCAGAACTCCATCCAGCCCCCATGGCATCCACTACGAGAGCTGCTATAGCAGCCCATTAAGGAACCGATGTAACAGGTCCGTTTAAGAGCCGCTGGAGCAACCCCTACAGAAGCCCCTCTAGCAGCCTCTACAAGAGACGCTAATTGCGGCCCGTCGAGGAGCTGCTTTAGCAACCCCTACAAGAGCCACAATAGCAGCCCCTACAGGAGCCCTTATATGAGCCCCATAAGCTGCCACCAGGGAGCCCCGAGAGCTCTGTGGGAGCCCCTGAAACGAGCACTTCTAAGAGCTCCTGTAGGAGCCCCTCTAGGTGCTCCAGGAATCCCGGGGACACCACAAACAATCCAAGGAATCCGTCGGAACCCTCAGGACACCCTGGGAATCCCCAGGAATCCTTAGGAACCTCTAGGACCCAATAAGAATTCCTATTAATTCCGAAGGATCCCTGGGAGTCTCCAGGATCCCTTACGAATCCATACGAATTCTCCGCAATCCATTGGGATCCTAAGGAATCTGGAAGAACCCCCCCAGAACCCTCAGGAGTCCATAGGAATCCCCAGGGTTTTTCGGGAATCCGTAGAACCCCCTAGGAATCATCAGGTTTTCCTGGGAATCCTCAGGAATCCATGGGAACTCCTAGCAAGCTCCAGTCCTCATAATCATAGGAATCCATCGGAATGCACAGAAATCCATGAGGGAACCCTTAGAATCCCTAGAGCTCCGTCGTGATCCCAGCGGGCTCCTATACAGTTCTCAGCGCCCCAGCAACCCCACCACTGCCCTGGGGGGTGGCTGGGGTGGCTGCGGTTCCCCCGGGGCTCTCAGGTACAGCCAGACCAAAGACATAAAAATGTCTTCCGAGAACATGAGACCCCCCGCCAGCCAAACTGAAGAACATTCGAGGGTACCCTCCTCAGGATGCACAAAAACATCCAACAAGCACGAAGAACAGCAGGGTACCCTCCGAGAACCGGCCTCGATCTAATACCTCGGTCTGGCCGTACGCCCCACCCATCATCAACAGCATCGTACCTTCAAGCTCTCTGACCCTTGATTATCCTTATCTACGGACGCCCCCAGAAACCCAACAGCACACCAAAACGCAAAAAACAAATCCTGGCGGAGGACGCAATCATACGCAGTTGTGAATACCGCCGATTTGAGTATCGCCCTCGGCGGTGCCATGCGCACCCTGCCACTGGGGCCTTCGGCGGAGCTCCCTATCGGGCCACGGAAACTGTAAGGGGTGTGCCGAAATGGAGGCGGCGATCCCATGCAAACCCTGCGATGACGATGGCAATGGTGACGATGAGGACTTGCTGAAGGCAAAGGCAGGGATGGGAGGAGGGGGAGACCACAGATAGAAAGGGGAGGAGGGAGGAGGGAGATGAGGAGAGGAGAGGAGAGGAGAGGAGAGGAGAGGAAAGGAGAGGAGAGAGGAGAGGAGAGGAGAGGAGAGGAGAGAGGAGAGGAGAGAGGAGAGGAGGAGAGGAGGGGAGGACGCGGGGCGCTGTCTCTGCAAAGCGAGGACCCAACACCACAGGATGGCTGGGAACAACTCGATCCTGGATCACCCGCCCTCCTAGACAACGTCTCCGACTGTTGGTGCTTCGCAGGCGTCCTTCGGGAAATCTCTGAAGCCAGGTCCCCGCGAGGCAGGTTCGTGTCCTGACAATCTGGCGTTGGTGTCTGACACTGCTTGGACCGTTCAACCTTGAACGATCGGCGGCTGCCTTGCCGTCACTCGGACGTCCACTTCCCGCGCATTCGTCGATTTCGTGTGTGTTGATGTTTGCTCGAAAACCCAGGATGCTCCCAGATAGTCGTCGACGAGACAAACTGCAAACGTCTGATGCATCGTCGACGTCGGCGATGCATCGGCGACGTCGACGTGAAGAAAAAGGGCTCTGTGGCTCATTACTTCGGAGGCGGGTCTGTGATTTCCGACCGTTTGCGACTAGGCACTCTGCGATTGGTGGAACGCGCCCGGTGATGCAGTGCAACGCACGTCCAATCGTTGGCCGAAACCTCCCCTCGGGCCTTGTGTGGAGGCGAGGCGAGGCGAGGCGCCGGTCAGACGTCCCGGCGGGGACGGCCCTACGAGAGCCCGGCGGTGGCGCCGGAGCGCCGAGAAAGAACCTTACTCGAGGGGGAAGGAGGGAGGAAGGACTCAGACCGTGAAGTGGGAGTTTCGCCTCGTGTGGAGGAGCTCATAGAAGCACAGACATAACTGTCGGAGGTACGCGCGGACTTGTCGAATCCGCGCCGACCTCCCTCCCTGGCGTGCGGAACGCGGTTGGAGCGACGCCGGAGGGGCCGCGGGGGGGCCCAACGCCCAGCCAAGAGATCCGCGCGGAGCTCCGAAAGCCCATGCTCATGCCAGATGTGTTTCCTCGACCTGTGTCGGAGGAGCGCGGGCAGAAAACAGCGGCGTGAGATGGCAAAGGGAAGGGAAGCAGCGGATGGTGTACCACACGGAGGAGGCACTACGCACCGCTGCGCCAGAAAGTCACGGATCGCCACCGTCCGTGAGACAATCGCCTGTGCGCCCGCGCGGAGGAGCCCCTCCACTCCGGCGGGCCCCGTTCCATCCTCTGGGAGCGCAGAACGGTAATGCAAGCGAGAGGGAGATCGTAAGCGGTGATGGCGGCATCCAAGTCAGGCGAGCAGCGTCGAGGCCAGAGCAGAAGCCGATCAAGATTCGACCAGCGCAGCAGCATGTGGTATCAGCAGGGGGCTTTTGGCGGCAACCCATGGGAGCCTCTCATGCCATCTTGCTGGCTCTTGCGAATCGACGCTGATGGACGCGAGTCGGAGCGAATCGACGCCACAATCGACGCGCATCGACGAGAGATCGACACTTCATCGTCGATCACCGCACGCGAGCGCACGCGGATGCACCCCCTGGAGACACGGTTCCGCGAGGACACGCCCAGCTCCCATGTGGATCTGCTGCCGCGCGTCGGGGGCGCGCAAACCTGGATTGGCGATCCATGGATTCGGCGCGCGGTCGTCAAATCCATGGATCGGGGGAGGTGCCCTCCCCCCAGAGTGCGGCCGGTGCCGGCTCGCTCGGCGGCGGAAGTCCGCGGTTTCCCACGGAAGCGGGGCCCGTCACTAATCCAGGCCCCCTGGATCCATGTCTGCGATGGCCTGAGAAAGGGCTCGCGCGTGGCCCCGCGGGCCTGCGGCTTCATGGAGAGGTCGTAGGACAGGAGCGCGCCCTCGCCGTCGCGGTTCACCCTCTGCACGAACGTGTCGACCTCGCCGCTGCCCACGCCAGGCCTCCCACAGCCTGCCCACCTGCCTCTCTTCTCGCCCTCCCCCCATCTGCCCCCCCCCATCTTCCACTCCCCCCTCTCCTCCTCCACTTCCCAGTCGTCCTCTTCCCTCCTCCGCCTCGTCCCTTCTCCTACTCCTCCTCCTCCTTCTGCTCTTCCTCCTCCTCGTCCTCGCCCTCGTCCTCGTCCTCGTCCTCGTCCTCGTCCTCGTCCTCGTCCTCGTCCTCGTCCTCCTCCTCCTCCACACCCGCCCTCCTTCCACCCTTCCTCACACCCTCACTCCCCCTCCCCCCGCCCGCCCGCCCCTCCTGAGATCTCCCGCAGCACCGCACACGAGGGGCCGCCGGTGCCGCCCCCAAAGGCGCCGCCACCCAGGGGCCGCCGGCGGAGATCGCCAGGGGGCCGCCGCTGGCGAGGGCCGCCTGCGGAGGCCGCTGTCGGGGGCCGCCGAGGCGCCGCCGAGGGGCCGCCGAGGGGCCGCCGAGGGCCGCCGAGGGCCGCCGAGAGGCCGCCGAGAGGCCGCCCAGGGATGCGCCGCCGAGGGGCCGCCGAGGGGCCGCCGAGGGCCGCGGGGGGCCGCCGTCTGGGCTCCGCCGGGCCGCGGGCCCACTTGCCGTGACGGTCGCTGAAGTATCTCACCTCGGCGGATCTGCGCGGTGCGCTCTGCCAGGGCCAAGGTGCGCGCAGGGGGGGAGGGGCGCCGCGCAGCAGGCGCGCAGGGCGCGCCCTCCGAGGCCTCTGCTGCTCCCTGCTGCTGCTGCTGCTGCTGCTGCTGCTGCTGCTGCTGCTGCTGCTGCTGCTGCTCTGCCGGAGCGGTCCTCTGAGGGTGGTCCGTGCTGCACTTTGGCCGAAACTGCAACACCTCTCAGAGCATGGCATCCTCGCTGCCCTCTTCAGGGGCTCCGCCCTGGCCTTGATCCTCATGCTCCTGGCCCGACCTGCTGCTGCTGCCGCTGCTGCTGCTGCTGCTGCTCATCGTCGTCGTCGTCGTCGTCGTCCCTGCTCCTCCTCATCCTCCACCTCCTCCTCCTCCTCCTCCTCCTCCTCCTCCTCCTCCTCCTCCTCCTCCTCTTCCTCCTCCTCCTCCTGCTCCTGCTCCTGCTCCTGCTCATCCTGCTGCTCCTCCTCCTCCTCCTCCTCCTCCCCTCCTCCTCCTCCTCCTCCTCCCCGTCCTCCTCCCTCCTCATCATCATCATTTCCTCCTCCTCTCCTCCTCCTCCTCCTGCCCTCCTCCTCCTCCTCCTCCTCCTCCTCCTCCTCCCCCACAACCTCGCCCCACACCTCCTCCTCCTCCTCCTCCTCCTCCTCCTCCTCCTCCTCCTCCTCCTCCTCCATCCTCCTCCTCCGCCCTCCTCATCCTCCTCCTCCTCCTCCTCCTCCTCCTGCTCCGCTCCTGCTCCCTGCTCCTCCGCCTCCTCCTCCTCCTCCTCCTCCTCTCCTCTTTCCTCTTCCTCTTCCTCTTCCTCTTCCTCTTCCTCTTTCTCTTCTCGTCCTCTTCTCTTCCTCTTCTCCTCCTCCTGCTCCGCTCCTGCTCCTGCTCCTGCTCTGCTCCTGCTCCTGCTCCTGCTCCTGTTCCTGCTCTGCTCCTGCTCCTGCTCCTGCTCCTGCTCCTGCTCCTTCTCCGCTCCTGCTTCCTGCTCCTGCGCCTGCTCCTCCTCCTCCTCCTCCTCCGCGCTTCCTCCTCCTCCTCCTCCTCCCTCCTTCTCCTTCTCTTCTCCTCATCTCCCCCTCCCCCTCCCCCCTCCCCCCTCCCCCCCCCCTCCTTCCATCCTGCTCCGCTCCTGCTCCTGCTCCTGCTCCTGCTCCCCCTCCTGCTCCAGCTCCTGCTCCTTGCTCCTGCGCCCACGTCCTGCTCCTGCTCCAGCTCCTCCATGCTCTGCTCCTGCTCCTGCTCCTGCTCCTGCCTACTCCTCCTCCTCCTCCTCCGTCCCCTCTCCTCCTCCTCCTCCTCCTCCTCCTCCCCCGCATCCTCCTCCTCCGTCCTCCTCCTCCTCCTCCTCCTCCTCCTCCTCCTCCGCCTCCCCTCTCCCTCTCCCTCCTCCTCTCCTCCTCCTCCAGTCCTCCTCTCCCTCCTCCTCTCCTCCTCCTCCTCCTCCTCCGCCTCATCCTACTCCGCCTCATCCTCCTCCTCTTCCACCTGCTCCTCCTCTTCCTCCTCCTCCTCTTCCTCTTCCTCCTCTTGCTCCTCTTCCGCGGGTGCGCGCGGATGTCTCGGATAGGCGCTGACCCTTCCGCCCTGGCGCGCTCCGCGCCCCGTCCTCTTCGGCCTTCACATCCCCCCCTCCCCCCCCCTCCGCCTGGTCCCCCCTCCTCCTGCTCCAGCTCCTCTCCTGCTCCCCCCCCCCCCCCCTTTCCTCTCCCCCCCCCCTTCCCCCCTACCTTTCCCTCCTCCTCCTCCTCCTCCTCCTCCTCCGCCTCCTCCTCCTCCTCCTCCCTCCTCTTCCTCCTCCTCCTCCTCGTTCTCGTCCCTCGTCGTCGCCTCCTCCTCCTCCCGCCTCCTCCTCCTCCTCCTCCTCTTTCCTCCTGCTCCTCCTCCTCTCCTCCTCCTCCTCCCTCCTGCTCCTGCTAGCTGCTGCTGCTGCTGCTGCTGCTGCTTCTGCTGCTGCTGCTGCTGCTCCTCGTCTCGTCCTCGTCCCTCGTCCTCGTCCTCCTCCTCCTCCTCCTCCTTCCCCTCCTCCTCCCTCCTCCTCCTCCTCCTTCCTCCTCCTCCTCCTCCTCCTCCTCCCTCCCCTCCCTCCCCCTCCTCCCTCCTCCTCCTCCTCGCTCCTCCTCCTCCTCCTCCTCCTCCTCCTCCTCCTCCCCCTCCCCCTCCCCCTCCTTCCCCTCCCCCCCTCTTCCCCCTCCCCCTCCCCCTCCCCCTCAACTGCCCCTCCTCTCCCTCCTCCTCCTCCTCCTCCTCCTCCTCCTTCGTCTCCTCCTCAGGCCCCTCAGGTCCGTGCGTGGCGCCAGAGTGAATGTGTTCGGTTGATTTCTCTCAGTGGCTCCCTTCGTGGGCTTCCTCAGGGGGCGAGGCTTCACATCGCTGGGGGGTGGGCCCATCCCTCCCACAAAATGCGGTTGCACCAGGACCTCGATGTGTGGTTCTGCGCGTCGTGTGGTATGTATGGGGATAAGCAATTACTCGGTCTCGGTCGTGAATGCCCCAATGTGATGTCTCCCACGAGGGCTGAGTATCTGAAACGGTTAGAATTGAATATGTCCCCCAAAGCTTACAGCAAGCGGGAATTGGAGCTGAAGGCCCACAAGGGGCTCTGAGGTAGATTTCTGGACTTCGTCCTGGCACTCCTGACTCCTGACTCCTCCTCCTCCTCCTCCTCCTCATCATCATCATCATCATCATCATCATCCTTCTCCTCCTCCTCCTCCTCCTCCTCTCCTCCTCCCCTCTCCTCCTCCCCTCCTCCTCCTCCTCCTCCTCCCTCCCCTCCCCCCCCCCTCCCCTCCCCTCCCCTCCCCCTCCCCCTCCCCATCCTCCTCCTCCTCCTCCTCCTTCCTTCTCCTCCTCCTCCTCCTCCTCCTCCTTCCTCCTCCTCCTCCTCCTCCTCCTCCTCTCCTCCTCCTCCTCCTCTTGCTCCTCCTCCTCCTCCTCCTCCTCCTCTCTTCCTCCTCCTCCTCCTCCTCCTCCTCCTCCTCCTCCCTCATGCTCTTCCTGCTCCTTCTCCTCCTGTTCCTCCCTCTTCTTCTCCTCCTCCTCTGCTCCTCCTCCTCCTCTGCCTCCTCCTCCTCCTCCTCCTCCTCCCCTCCTCCTCCTCCTCTCTCTCCTCCTCCTCCTCCTCCTCCTCGTCTTCCTCCTCCCCCTCCTCCCCCTCGTCCCCCCCCCCTCCCCCTCCCCATTTCCCCTCCCCCTCCACAAGTACTCAATATGAATACTACTCTCCTCCTTCCCCTGATGACGGGTTGGGAGTGTTCGCGCCCCCCCCCGCGTACTGGTGTTTTTACAAACAGGATTCCCCGGAATTGGGTTTTCGCGTGCATTTGTTGCTCAAAATGCTGCTCTCGCTGAGGCGCCGGCCTCATTTTCGGGCCCCGCTCGTTCCGAATCGTGCTCCCGCTGCAGCGCTGGCATCATTTCCGTGCTTCCGCTCGTTCCGAATCGTGCTCCCGCTGAAGCGCTGGCCTCATTTCCGCGCTTCCGCTCGTTCCGAATCGTGTTCCCGCTGCAGCGCTGGCGTCATTTCCCGTGCCATGCCACGGCATGCAATGCAATGCTAGGTTGCGTTCCACTGCGCGATGCCATGCTTCAGCTGAAGCTGTGATATGCAGTGCTTGAGTGCCACGTCGTGCTATGCCATGCTACGCCTTGATCTGCAACGCCATGCTATGCAATGTTATGTTCGGGGCCGCTGTGCGATGCCATGCTTTGCGTTGCAAAGCTTTGTGTTGCAATTCTTCACTACGCCACGCCACGCCATGCTGTGACATACTACGCTTGGCGGTGCTCTTCTACGCCATGCCACGCCGTGCTCTACAATGCATCGCGTACCCTTTCGGGATCATTGCCCTGCTCGACATCCAACTGTGCGAGTAGAGATGGGATCTACGCCATGGTAAGGTATGGGAGGGAGGGATAGGATGTCAGATATGACGCGAGCGCACCTAGCTTGCCCTCCCCCTCTCCCTCTCCCTCCCCCTCCCCGCCCCCCTCTCCGTCCCCGTACCCCTCCCCCTCCTCCTCCTCCTCCTCCTCCTCCTCCTCCTCCTCCTCCTCATCTCCCTCCTCCTCCTCCTCCTCCTCCTCCTCCTCCTCCTCCCTCCTCCTCCCTCAAGCAACTTGGGCTCAGACCATTTTGGCAAGAGCCCGCCTTCTGTGCCTGCGCGCGGTGCTTGGGGCACTTCACCCACGCTCTCCAGGAGAGCCGCTGGTGACGACTAAAACAGAAGGTGCTCACATATGATGTCTCGTCCTTGATGTCAGGCTCGGGAAATTTGTTTTTGGCGCCCATGCTGTTCACTGGAGCGACGCACTTGAGGGGCTCAGATCGGGTCGCGTCCACTTTCCGTCTGGCCGTCCTCCCGTTCTTCCTTGTCCCGCACGTGTTTTTCAAGCTCCCACAGGCTGGGCGGGCACTGGTTTCGTCATTTACATTTCAGCCATCCCTCAGAGCCGCACGGAGGGGGTATTCTCTTTCGCTGGCCTCGGGCGTTTGCTGGTTGCAATGGCGCTCAGTTCCCATCATCTACAATGCTGCTATCTCCCAATGCCGCGTGGGGAGGGTACGGGCGGCGGCCTATTTGTTCAGCGTTGCTGGGACTGGGCCTCTTACTGTTATCTTTTTCACGCGGTGCTGCGAATGGTGGTCAATTATTGCAAGGGCTGGAGGCTTTTTCCTTGAATGCAATGAGGCTGTTTTCGGTGTGAACGATCCGTCAGGGTTGCCCGATGACCAGTTTACTGTAGTGGGCCGTATCGAGTTTGCTTCGGTTCAGCTTATTTGTATCAAGGTGGCTTTTGGCATTCTTTCAACTTCCTCTGTATTTGTCTGGTGTTGAAGGGGTGAACTGACATTCCATGTTTGGGAGGAACCCATCCGCGGGCTTATGGTTCCACGGGCTTCTCTGCCAGCTTTTCAGAAGAAGTGCGTCCTCTTCCTGTCCGTCGTGCTCCTCTTCGACAAGTCCAGGGGGGGCGTCTGTTTCGA